TTCTATGCTTCTGGTTTCCTTTATACCAATTATCCACATTTCTGAACCATACTTTAGCATTGATTTTGATGTAATATTATGAATTCTCATCATTGTTTCTTCTCTCATAAGTCCAAAATGTCTCTTTATTATTTCCATTGTTTCTATTATATTTTTGTATTTTTTCTCCGATGTCCTCCTGGTTCAATCAAATTGAATTGCCAACATATTTAAAAGTGGTAACTTGTTCAATTATTAAATTTTCTATTACTAGTTTGGATCTAAGATGATCTTTGCCATAGAAGGCTAGTGTTTTAGTTTTCTGGCATTTTTTCATTTGGTATTCTCTGCTTATTTTGCTTAATTAGAAGACCTCTATCTATAGTGAGTCTTTTGAGTCTTTTATTATAACTTCGTTGTCTGCGAATAATATTGTCACTAATATCTGGTTAATTGTTATTTCTATTCTTGCTCGAGTTTTCTGTTTCCAGGTTTTTGTCATGTGATTTAAGTAAAAGTTAAAAGAGTAGGGCTGAGTGCGCTTCCTTGTCTTAGACCTTTGTTGATCTTCACCTGAAATGACGTGCTTTGGTCATTTTTAATAACCATTTTGGAATCTTGCCACAAGCTCTGTATATTTTTGATTAAATGTTCTGGTACTGTTACTTTTTTCAGAATTTCCCATAACTTCTGCTTGTTTACATAATCATAGTCGTTTTCATAGTCAATGAACAGTATATATGTTGATAAGTAATGTTCTTTCCTATTTTCTATAATATGTTGGCATGTGATTATTGCATCTATTGTACCTCTCCCAAAAGTCCATTGCCCAAAAATCCAATGTTGCAAAATCCACATTGTTCTTCCATGATTTTTTCTTCTTTGATTATGATTAGTCCTCATAAGTTAGCAAATAGTTGTCTTCATAAGTCACAATTAGTTGTCTTAATAAGTTTGCAAATATGTTTGGCATCACTGGTATCATGCATGTAACAACTTTTTCTGCGTTCTTTTTTGAAGATGATGTACACTACTGAAGTCCTCCATTCTTGGAGTTGTACTGTTTATGTTTCTTTATCTCATTTATTAGTTTTAGTAATTTGATTTTTAATTCCTGTCCTCCATATTTTATCATTTCTGTTTTTATCCCATCTATTCCTGCTCCCTTCCTATTCTTTGGGTGGTGATACCAAAATGTAATATACAGTTTTTAAAAGGGAAGTTAAGAGGGTAAATCTATGAGAATTGCCAAACTACTAACACAAAATAATGGAAAGCAATTCATGTCATAAGTGAACATAAGAATCACATTTCCATGCTCATAACTTTTTGTGCTTTTATTGTTTACTAAAGAGCTTATTTGTAATATACCAACAGTTAAAATTCCATTATGCATGTTTTTTGTTCAGAAAGGGCTGATGTGTAGGGTGTAAAAATTACTTAATGATGCCACATTATACTTAAAAATTATGCTGTTTGGTATTCACTTTCAACACAAAAGAAATGTCTTAATTTAACATTGCTGACAATGTTTTCAAACCGAAAATACTATATGTGATGTAATAGTATAAAGCTTCTCATACTCCCAATTTGAAATTCCAAACATTGCAAATAGCATTTTTTTGAGAATTAGAAATCAGTGACCAAATGCTTATCAGCTTGTGTATTATTTCTTGTGTATTAGACTACTGTTCAAATAGATTAGTGAAAACCACCTTAATAACTGTGAGAACTGTGAGAATTTACCAAAAATTACATGAATTAAAATCCATATCGAAAGAAATATAGAAAAGCTAACATTTGAAAATAATCATATTAATTTCTTTAATTTTTATCATTTACAGTCAAAAGTATGTATAAGTAACAAATATAAATATTCAATTAATATCATTTATACGATTAAGAATCAAATGTTTGCCTCGAATAGTAAAGAAGTGCTTTAATTTCTCAACAGCTAAATTATTAGTAAATGGAAACAAAAAAAAATTGAACATAACATGTCGATAAATGGGTATAAATGGACTCGTAAATAAGAAAACTCGCTTCTATCATTGCTGGTTTTCTTGAATATACCACTTGTGGAATTTTCCCCTTCTTTATACACTTGTTTTGTTAATTCCTATAATATATCCTTGAACTATAATGAAATTTATATTAAAAAATATTAGCAAACATTCATCAAATTTCTCTTTTTGCCTATGTGTCAACTGTATTGCTTAAAAACTGGAAAGCACATGAATTAACATGAATTGCCCAGATGTGTAGAGTTTAATCCCTGGTTTTTATGATAAATTAAAGAAAAATAATTTAAGCATGTATTAATTCCTACCTAATATAATTATTATAATTGACTATTGTGGGGTCATTCATTTGATGTTTAAAATGCCACAATTAACTTGGCCAGCTCACTGCTCCACCTCCACCAAAAGAATTCAGTATCTTCATTTTGCTGATAATGGTTTTGTCCATAAGTATTTGGATCTTAACTTCATCAACATACAAACATGTTTACAACATTATTGTATGTTTTGTAACATTATACGGGTTATTTCCATTTCAGTATCTATTTCAAATATTCAAACATTACAATTTTTCCAAAGTTCAAAATGGTCTGATAATTATTTATGTTGAACAGTTTTGTGGCCAATATTCTCTAATTTGGCAACCTAACAGTGTGTTGCAAATTGCATCCAACTTTAATTTTTTATGTTATAAGTAGAGAAGGTAGGAGTGTTTCTAAAGATCAAAAATCGAAAGACAAATTTTGGGAGGGGAAATTCAAAAAGTTTTAGTCGAATGTGTCATATTACAGATTTTGTTAAGTGTCGCAGGCTACACTCAACTCATGCTGCTCTGCAATTTTATTAATTTTATGATATCTGAAAAAAATTTTGCATGAACGTTTCCTGACATGTGAAAATAAATAGTTACTGAAAAATTGTAGGAGGAGGAAACTTCTTCCCATTCAAATTGCCCATGCATTTTCTAAAGTTGACTACCCGAACGCGTTAGTTCACTCATTCTCTCACAGGAGCACGGCAGTCAATCGAGAGCGTTTTAGTTCTTTTGAATGCCGCTGCGCGCCTACCTCTCTCAGCAAGTGGAGCCCCTATTGGGGCAGCTGGGAAGTAGGCCACATTGAAAAAGAGAAGTTACCTGGAAAAAGCCATAAAAGATTTTTAAGTTTATGTTGCATTTACCTAAGTACTAGTTAAACCCCCACGTTTTCGTCCTCGCATACTCTGTGCTAATTCGGTAGTTCAGAAAAAAATTCCGACTCTCTATAACTTTTTAACTTTATGATCTTTAGAAAATTAATTTGAACTCATTTTCATGATAAATTTTCCTACAAGTTTTGAAAAAGATATTTTTTTGCACTCCGATTACCAAGCAAGCTTCTGTTTCTCGAAAATATGCTACTTTTTATTTCTCCAAAACGAATGCAAAAATACGCATTTTTATGGTGTAATCGACTTATAATAAATAAAATAATTATCACGTGTAATGCAATTATTTGTTTGGTCATCAATGAACACATTGCCAAAACTCTCGATAAAGAGCAGTTCAGAGACATTATATCAGCGAGAAACCTATGAATCAAATGTGCACATATACGAAACAGTTTCCGGTTTAAGAAAAAATCTAAGTAGGGACAAATAGTGTACTGTTATAATATTATTTTTCCTCCTTACATGATAGACTATCAATGTTTATTGTTACAATTATTTATTAATTTCATATGGTTAGAGTATTTCTTACACAATTAAATTATTTGTTACTAGGTTAAAATATTTATTACGTTTCGGAACACATTTGTTTCCTTCTTCAGGTAAATTCTAAAGAACAAATATTTATAATAACATAATTTCCGTTATTTACAAGTTTTAATTGTAATAAAATATCTATTACTAGACGACAAAGCAGAAGGTAAAAGAAAGTCTATAGAAAAAATTGGTTACTAAATTAAGAAACGATCAGTCAATATCAAATGAATCGGCAATAAAGTAAATAAACACTTTGACGGAAGTATCCAGAGAAAACTTGCCGTGTATCCTTTTGTCCCTCACAAATTCCTCATTGATCGGTCGGGAATTTAGGCCCTGAGTTCCGAGTTAGAAGGCAATTACACTTAAATCCGATAATCTATGGATTAGCCCAGTCTTTGAGAAATATAGGACTACCGTCTTTTTGTTCGAAAGACAGACATGGCATGTATCATTTTATGAGCTGTGCCTCTTCACACACTTGAGTCAGGGGTGAGTCCAGAAAGTTCTCTAGTGTTGGGGATTTCAGTTCGCACCCAAAATATATTTGAAAGTCTTTTTTTTCTAGGGTCGTAAAAAACTGTAGGCTTGTGTGTGCTGCTAGGCATACTTGAAGTTATTTTCTTAAAACATCTGAAAAACGTGTCGTCGCCGTGCGTAAAAGACTTTTTTCACGCTGTCGTCACAGAGAGAAAAATAATTTTACGCACGGTAGGTAAGATGCAACAGAAGTAAGGAAATACAGCACACATTAACGGCAGCTTTAATCTCATTATTATCTGTAGCGGCTCTTCAGGAAATGTCCAGGGTAGGCAAATTAAATTACTGAACAGCGAAGGGGGCATGGCGGTCAAGTCCCCACCTCAATTCATGTCTAAAAAGAAAAATATTAAATTTATTCAAAACAACTGCCTCACTGGTATCAATATATTCCAAAGCATTATTTCCATTAAGTAAGTGCAGACGTGATTTCAATATATTCCGATATCCATCTCTATTACAAGTTCCCTCATTAATTGACAATAAAAGAAATCACCAACAATAAAGCGTAGCTTTAACTTCACTTAATACCTGTTAGCCATTTCTGTGAGTCATACCAGAGGATTGAATTTTCTTTCATTTTTCCCACCAGCACTATATACAACCGCACTCGACATAGAAGTAGGTCCAAAATTTGTCTCCTTTCTACATCGTTAAGACGTAGAAACGGTATACGTAGTAGTTAATTCACTGTATCTGTTATTATTACCATAAAATCAGGTTTAAATATAAGAAAATAAAGTTATACCAATACTCCGCAGTATACCAATTTAAAGGGAAAAATAATTTCATGCTAAATTATAATCACTTTCTCAACTTGTTTACTCATCAAAACTAGTCTGTCCAACGCTTAATTTCCAATGAATTTTATTGAAAAGTATAGTTTTACCGAAGATTTCTAATGCACATCACTCCTGAAGCTTCGTTATACCTGTCGAAGTTCACAACGAAGCACCGGCCTTCGAGCTATGTGATTAATATCCTTGGACCTGTCCAACGCGTCATTTCTAACACATTTTACGCCCAAATACTTATTTAATTACTTAAAACGCATGATTCGCATTTGATCTAAACTCCTTTGAGTTTCAAAACAACCCTCATATCCGGCACCCGTTCGCTTTCGTTCGCTGATCTCGGGACATTGATGTCGATTCGTTTGATAATGGTTAAGGTATATTTTCTTAACAAAATTGTTAGCTGGAATAAAAAAAACATAATAGAAATACTTCTTAGCATACGATGCGTCCAACGCGTGGTTAATGTTTTCATTAAATGGAGTACAATCATTTATTTCAAAAAACGTTTTGGGGAAGAGTCATGGCTGCAATGGCCCCCATCCCCTGGATGTGTCAGTGTCATGACTGCACGTAACTCTCATTAAATCGCGACTCAGATGATCGCTACTATTAACCAATCGGGAGCTTCGCTACAAATTAAAGTTTGATATTGAAGCTCCCGATCGAATGTGCCAGCTTGTTAGCCGAGCTGCTCATAATTCAAATCGTCCAAGCACAAACTCCGTAAGAAGGAGACAATTCCGGTGGAGAGGGGGTTTGTACGAAAAGCAGTCGTCGGCAGATAATCGGATTCGCATAGCTTCAGTAACATTACGCGGTCAATGGGAAAAATTTTAAAAATATTATCGACCAATGACCATAAAGCTCTTGTGTCAAATCAACCCCATCTACACACTCTAAAGTGTAGATGGCGTTAGTCGATACATGTACGCGCGTCGTTATTGGCCGAAAACGCCGAGATAAGTTCCTTCATCACTGGCGTAGCGTGGGGGTCAGCCATCCTCTTATTTAGGTATTTCAGTTAAAAATACTAAAATATACAAGCTTGAACAACGTAGTAGATAGTCAAACATACAATGACATAAAAAATGCAAGTAAAATATTTAATACGCCATCATGTGTATACGTACAAGAACAAAGTTCAATAGGTTAACAATCACTATAAGTATACCATAGCCCGCTAGTATGCCTAATGCTATATGCATACTAGCGGGCTATGCGTATACTTATTAGCTCTAAAATCACAGTTTGGAAAGCGCAGTCATATACGATTAAGTTAATATGAATTGAACGACTGACTATCCATCAACGAAACTTCCCTTGAATTGCCAAAGAATCACTCAACGAGCTTGAATTACATCTATCTATCTCACCGACTTAGGGAGTTAACCGTACTGTAATCTAATGTGCAAGTGTTGCTATACAATATTGAACCCTATTCTTTACATAACAGAAGTCATTATTGTTGAATATTAGTCATAAATAATTCTAACACAAAATAAAATACGGAGAATTCCAAGAAGTTTGTACAGACGGTATTGCCAGTCGCCACAATGAGCAAGATGTCTTTATTATAACTTAAGTCGCCACAGAATAAATAATGAAAGATTCCGTGCTCGCTTCAAGCACCTCGAATCGTAGGTGCGAGGAAAATATGAAATGAAGTGGTTCAAATTTTTACAAATTATTATTATTATTATTATTATTATTATTATTATTATTATTATTATTATTGTTAGTATTATTATTACTATTGTTAGTATTATTACTATTATTATTACTGTTATTATTACGGTTATTACTATTACTATTATTATTATTATTATTATTATTATTTATCGTGAAATTTTGCCGCCCCCACTACGCTACGTCACAGTCCATTCATCGCATTTAGTCTGAGCCTACTATACAGTTACCGTAGTTTTTAGTACATACCCCACCAGACGTCGTGGTCCTACGTTTTAATCGAAGCAGTGGCTTTATTACATGGGGAAGGGGGTGTGGGTCGGCCCCGGGTGGCACCATTTTAGGGGTGACACCAATTAGAAAATTTTCTAGGTGAAATTATATAATTATTTATTTAAAAATTATATCTCAATTATTCTGAAATTCATTCAGTTTTTATGCATCATAAATAAACATCATGTGCAAATATACTTTTATGTTTATTAAATAGTGTACAAACTATTCATTAATAGATATTTTATATTTAATTTATAGGCAGTGATATAATTAATTTTGCCCCGGGTCACGCCAACTGAAGCTACGCCACTGAATCGAAGTGTATATCACGAATACAATTAGAATGTGATTGACATTTGGGTGTGGAGGGGGCGGCGCTGCCGCATACTGCGCACTCTACCACGTGCTCTCTACACTAACTAGACAAACAGTGGAAAGGAATGTTGGGAAACTCGTAACAAGTTTGTGCGTAACATTTGTTCGTAACATTTGTAATATGTGTTTGCTCGTAACATTTGTTCCCTAATTTTATGTAACAATGTGCAAATGCCGAAGCTACTGTTTCGCTTCTTCCTAGATTGCGGCGTTAACGTCACAACGGGACCACGAAATGTCAATCACATTCTAATTTTATTCGGACCTTCGATGGACGCAAGTGGCGAGGAGGCCAACGAACCTCGACGAAGAAGGGCTTAGGCGACGCGGCACGGCGCGGCACGGAACGTCACGGAACGGCACGGCACGGCGCGGCACGGCGCGCGTCCGCGAACAATGACACCCACGCAGCGCTGCACCGCGACCAAAATAGCCCATTCTGTACCGCCGCCCCCACGCCCTCGCTTGCAAATCGTTCGCCCCGTGCGAATCCTGTTTTGGCTCGAGTTCGAAGATTTACAAGTGGCAGCGGCCGACCGTTGTTTGCGCGTGGACCGAAGGTGGGTTTCCTGTTTGGGTGGCGACTGTCTCTTTTTCTATTATCGTTTTGGAAGAAGAATTTACGACCGAGTGACATAGAAAATGTGGAACCCTTTTCTTCGTTTGCAGAAAGTGGTGAAGTCAGATTTGGGCGCCGAGGCAGTGACCTTCATTACCT